GCAAGTGATATATATCCAGGAAATTGTCCATTTCCTTTAAATTTTCGAATTTTGTGGAGTACAGATTTTCAAAGTATGCCTTGATGATTCTCTGGATTTCCTCAGGGTCCATTGTTATGTCCCCTTTTTCATTTCTGATTTTGTTAATTAGCATGCTCTCTCTCTGTCTTTTGGTTAGTTTGGACAGAGGTTTGTCTATTTTGTTGAGTTTCTCAAAGAACCAACTTGTTGTTTCATTGATTCTTCTCAGTGTTTTCCTGGTTTCTGTTTTTTTTTTTTTTTTTTTTTTTTGGTTTTATGAGACAGGGTTTCTCTGTTTTGGTGGCTGTCGGTCCAGCCTGGCCTCGAACTCACAGAGATCCGCCTGCCTCTGCCTCCCGAGTGCTGGGATTAAAGGCGTGCGCCACCAACGCCCGGCTCCTGGTTTCTACTTAATTGATTTCAGCCCTCAATTTGATTATTTCCTGGCGTCTGCTCCTCCTGGTTGAGTTTGCTTCTTTTTGTTCTAGAACAGTCAGCTGTGCTATTAATTCTCTAGTATGACTGTTCTCCAGTTTCTTCATGTGGGCACTTAGTGCTATAAACTTTCCTCTCAGCACTGCTTTCTAAGTGTCCCATAAGTTTGCGTATGTTGTGTCTTCATTCTCATTGAATTCCAGGAAGTCTTTGATTTATTTTTTTATTTCTTCCTTTACCCAGGGATGGTGCAATTGTACATTATTCAACTTCCATGAGTTTGTAGGGTTTCTGCAATTTGTGTTATTGTTGAATTCTAATTTTAATGCATGGTGGTCTGATAAGATACGGGGGTTATTCCAATTTTTTTGTATCTGTGGAGATTTGCTATGTTTCCTATTATGTGGTCAATTTTAGAGAAGGTACATGTGGCGCCAAGAAGAAGGTATATCCCTTTGTGTTTGGGTGGAATGTTCTATAGATGTCTGTTAAACCCAGTTGGGTCATAACTTCTATTAGTTCTTTTGTTTCTTTGTTAAGTTTCTGTCTGGAGGTCCTGTCTAGTGGTGAGAGCGGAGTGTTGAAGTCTCCTACTATTAGTGTGTGAGATTTTATGTGCATTTTGAGCTTTAGTAATGTTTCTTTCACGAATGTAGGTGCCTTTTTTTTTTTTTTTTTTTTTTTTGGTTTTACGAGACAGGGTTTCTGTGTTTTGGAGGCTGTCGGTCCAGCCTGGCCTCGAACTCACAGAGATCCGCCTGCCTCTGCCTCCCGAGTGCTGGGATTAAAGGCGTGCACCACCAACGCCCGGCATGTAGGTGCCTTTGTATTTGGGGCGTAGATGTACTTTTCCTTTGATGAATATGAAGTGTCCTTCTTCATCTCTTTTGATTGATTTTAATTTGAAGTCTAGTTTGTTAGATATTAGGATTGCTACACCCGCTTGTTTCTTGGGACCATTTGATTGGAAGATCTTTTCCCAACCCTTTACTCTGAGATAACATCTGTCTTTGATGTTGAGATGTGTTTCTTGTATGCAGCAGAAGGAAGGGTTCTGTCTTCGTATCCATTCTGCTAGTCTGTGTCTTTTTATAGGCAAGTTGAGGCCGTTGACGTTGAGGGATATTAATGACCATTGATTGATGATTCTTGTTTGTGCTTGATTTATTGTTAGTGAAGTTATTTTGTGTAGTTTCTCCTCCCTTTTTCTTTTGGTGTTTTGTAAAGTGGGATTATATATTGCCTGTGTCTTTGTGAGTGTAGTTATCTTCCTTGGATCTAGGTTTTCCTTCTAGCACTTTCTGTAGGGCTGGATTCATGGAATATTTTGCTTTCTCCATCTATGGTAATTGAAAGCTTTGCTGGATATAGTAGTCTGGGCTGGCATCCTTGTTCCCTTAGCATTTGTAGGACATCTATCCAAGATCTTCTGGCTTCCATAGTTTCCATTGAGAAGTCAGGTCTGGATAGGTCTGCCTTTGTATGTTACTTGGCCTTTTTCTTTAGCTGCTCTTAATATTTTCTCTTTATTCACTAGGTTTGATGTTTTGATTATTATATGGCGAGGTGACTTCTTTTTTTTGGTCCAGCCTATTTGGTGTTCTGTAAGATTCTTGTATTTTCATAGGCATATCTTTCTTTAGGTTAGGGAAGTTTTCTTCCATGATTTTGTTGAATATGTTTTCTGTACCTTTGAGTTGTGTTTCTTCACCTTCTTCTATACCTATTATTCTCAGGTTTGGCTTCTTCATTGTGTCCCATATTTCCTGGATATTTTGTGTTAAGGATTTGTTGGTTTTGAGATTTTCTTTGGTTGACGACTCTATATCCTCTAATGAGTCTTCAACACCTGAGATTCTCTCTTCTATCTCTTGTATTCTATTGGTGATACTTGCATCTGTAGTTCCTGATCGTTTACCCAGCTTTTCTATTTCCAGCATCCCCTCGTTCTGTGTTTTCTTTATCGTTTCTATTTCAGCTTTCAATCCTTCAACTGTTTGAGTTGTTTCCTTCATTTGTTTGGTTGTTTTTTCTTGGTACTCTTTAGATTCTTTGAGAGATGTTTATTTCTTGAATCCCCCCCCCCCCCATTTCATGGATTTTTTGTTTGTTTTTTCTTCTATTTCTTTAAGGGATTTCCTTGTTTCTTCTTTGAGGGTCTCTATCATAATTTTAAGGTCTGTCTCCTCTGCTTCGTCTATGTAGTGCTTTTCAGGTCTTGCTGGTGTTGGTTCCCTAGATTCTGGTGGAGTCATGTTGGTCTTTCTATTGTTGAGTGAGCTCTTATTCTGTCTTCTTCCAGTGGGTGCTGGTGGGGTCCTTCCATCTCCACTGGTCTTCCTTCCTTCCTGTAGCTGAAGCTGGGGATGCTGACACTGAAGCTTAAGCTTAAGCTGGGGTTGCTGGAGGTTGGGGCCTGGAAGGGCTTATGTCTTTCCTGAAGCTGGGCTCGCTGGAGTTTGGGGCCTGGAAGGGCTGATGTCTTTCCTGTGTGGGCGGGTCTTCTGGGAGCGGCCCGGAAGATCGAGGGGATGGGTGTTGGGCAGGGGATGCGGGGGTGTCCCAGCGGGAGACCCAATCACACCTGAAGCTGGGCTCGCTGGAGTTTGGGGCCTGGAAGCCAGTATAAGGAGTCTTTAACAGGTATTAGTGCTCTTTTTAACTTACTAGTTTAAAAGAAAAATCAACTTTCAATTTTGGGAAAGTTTAGGAGGGAAAGAAGGGTGTTCACTGGGGTCCACATTTAGATGGCTGCGGTGATGCTGTAGATAAGCAGGAGTTACTAAATGGATATTCATAACAAAGCATGATTAAAGGGCAGAGAACTGCAAACAAATGGCCAGCAGGAAGAGGATGCACCTTTATTTGTTCATTTAATGACCAGGTAGTAATATTCTTTGACTTACCCATTTTTAATATACCTTCAAAGAAATAAGAGTGTGCATTCCTGCATTTTTATGGGATATGTATTGTGAAGTGTTGGGATCATAGTGGTGAATCTTACACTGTTTATATTATTAAGCAGAGGCAACATTAAATCTGAAGTGATGCTATTACTTCTGGAAGCTAGAATCTTTTAAAGCACAAAGGTGGTTTCCATTATTCAAAAGTTTTCATAGCAGTGATGGCTTCTCTTCTAGAAGACACAGGTTTGATTCCCAGCACCCACATGGCAGCTCATACCTGTGTGTAACTCCAGATCCAGGAGATCTGATGCCCTCTTCTGGCCCCCATGGGTGTCAGGCATGCACATTGTGCACAAGCATCCAGGAAAAGCACCACACAAAAAATAATTAAAAGTTAAATCTTTTATTACAAAATACAAAAACAATACATTTCATAATTTGAGTCATGTAGTTTTGTTATATGTAGATGTCTTACACTGATACAGATTTCTTAATCTAATTTATTAGCTCTTTTTATTAGAATGAATTTTCTTTGTTTCTTAGCTTAATTATATGTTGCTTGTGGTGGTGATATATTTCATAGAACTTTACATGTTTCTCGTTGTTGAACAAGTAAGAATGAATACTTTATAGCCTATGCATTTTCCTAGGCCAAAAAGAGATTATAGATTTTAGATGGGGATGATGGATCCTCTGATGGTGAAGAATACAGGCACAGTCCCATCTCCCAAGGAGTTCCCTTCATAGAGCCAGACAGCAGTCAGAAATGTAGATGAAGACAGAGCGACAGCCCGTGACGAGGACATGAGAAATGTGTTCGTCATAGCATGCAGCAGAGGGAGCTGACTGGTGCAGGTGGACACACACCTGCACTACAAAGCTTGCTGGGGGTGGGCTGTAGCAACACAGGGATGGGGGACAGGTGAGGAGGAGTGTGCTGGCCACCGGAACAGATCTGAGTTTAAAAATGGACTCTCTAGGAATATTTTAGAGACACTAAATCTGGGAAGTGAATTAGAACCCTATTGGAGTTATCCAGAAAAAAGAATAATACTGGCAATAAATATAAATAGAAAATAACTGGAAAAATAAATTTGGATGGTAAAATTGAAAAATTACTGACTGGGTAGGCATGGGACACTTAGGAATAGGGAGGAGTGAAATAAGTTGTTTTTTTTTTTTCCTAAGCTGTACAAGAGTGCCCCCTTTACCACTACACAGAATGGAAACTATTTAGTTTCGGACTTGGAGAGTGTCAGGTTATGTTTGTCCATAGGGTGACAGAGACACCACTAAATATATGGGTCTGGAACTTCAAGGAGAAATTGAGGCCAAAGATATAACTGTAGGCTATATTGGATTGTTGGTCATTCCTGGAATTGTTGAAAAAGAGAGTGTGGAGCAGGAGGAAAAGCAGTTTAAACTCAGGCTTAAGCAGGTCCCAACCCCAGTAATGGAGCCACCTTCAGAATGGTCCAAAGGGGCGAAACTGTAGAGACAGGAAAAGCCAACAGGAGAGAGTCCTGTGGGAGAATGTCATGCTAGTCGCTTAGAATGAGCGGGATTGGAAGATAGGGAAACCAAGTGGTGAGCATTCTACATGAGTGTTTATAAAATGTGTGTTGTTCTTTAATCCAGGCACATCCACTATCCTTCTTACTAGAATAAATTGTGCAGATTGGTCTGATGTATGCGCGAAGCAAAACGTCACTGCATTTCCTGCGGTAAAGTTGTATAAGGAAGGCGAGAGCCCAGTGTCTTACGAGGGCATGTTGGGAACCAAAGACCTCCTGAAGTTTGTCCAGCTGTGAGTATGCAGCTTCACTCGGAGATGTCTAGGTTTGAGGTCTGGACGCTTGTCGACATGCGTCTAATAGGTTCAAGAGGCTACTAGACTGAGACCAGAGTAAATACTGACACTGAAGCTTTGTGCATGCTCTGTCACTTTCATCTAATGAGACAGATTGTTTTTAAAGAATAATTTTTCCAGTCTCATCTAATGAGACAGATTGTTTTTAAAGAATAATTTTTCCAGTGGTATGTGATACATTGTTTGCTACGTTCTACATGTTTTTTTCACAAACTGCAAAATATCTTCAAAAATTAATTTTGGGTATGGTTATATATTTATCCAGAAACAGGATCTCCTGTCCAGTGAACATAGCATCCATCCAGGAAGCAGAAAAATACTTACGTGGGGAGTTATATAAAGACCTGTTCAGTTTTCCTAGTGTGTCAGTACTGGGACTCTTTAGCCCAGCCATGGCATCAGGTAAGTAGAGTCGACACTCACTTTTTAAATTTTATTTCATGTTTAGTCGTGTGTGTGTGTGTGTGTGTGTGTGTGTGTGTGTGTGTTTGCAATTTTAAGGTACATATCATTTCCTGCACTTGGACTTCTCTCGAGGCTGTGTGCAAGAAGACAGCTGTGCCTATTTTTCTTGACTTAGCAGTACATTAAATTTATTTGGCCATTCTGTATGACTAGAGAGCTATACCTTTTTAAAATTCGTTTTCATTTTCTGTACATTGGTGTTTTGCCTGAGTGTAAGTCTGTGTGAGGGTGTCAGAAGCCCCGGAACTAGAGTTGTGAGATGCTGTATGGGTAATGGAAATTGAACCTGGGTCCTTTGGAGGAGCAATCAGTGCTCTTAAGTGCTGAGCCATTTCTCCAGCCCAAGTGCTATAAATCTTAAGAATGACATTTAGAGAGCATTTGTTTAGGGAACCACGGTTGTATCATATCAATAGGTAACTTCTTAGCAACAGTGCTACAAGACAGATTTGGTTTAGCTGTTATGTGTGCACGTAAGCATTAGTCTTTGTGATTTCACGGTAATGATGTTCTGCCCTTTGTATGCCTGTGCCTGCTGCCTGGCATACATAATGCATACATAATGTTAGAGTTGACAAGCTCATCTCACCTGTGTCTGTGCAGCAGAAGAACATTTCAGGGAAGCAGGGAAGCGCCTGAGAGGCTCCATCATCACGGGAGTTTATTCTGAGGATGACGTTTGGATATTGTAAGTTTATTGCCCTTCCTGCTCTGGGGCAGATGAAACGATGCAATATAATGTGCCCCTTCACATTTGATATGGGGGCTAAGAAGAATCTTAAGTTAATTTTCAACCAACATGCAAGATGACAGGTGTCTGGGATTTGATTTATACCTGGCCTGGTCTCCCATCTTTCTGCCCCTCCACTCCCGTCTGTGCCTGTCCACCCCAGTATTCTAAATTTTAATGTCTTCCAGGAAGATGTCTGGGAAGCGCCATGCTGTTAGATTCTTTAAATACCCCCTTTGAAGTGCTGGTAGGAGTGATCTTTTTGAAGCACCTACAGAAATGATCATACTTATTTTTGCTCCTATAAAAGTTTTCATCTTTGGATCCTGTTATTTGTGCTTTGAGTTGTGTTTGGAGTCTTTATAGTGTTGAGAATTTTACTTCTTGATTGCTGTTTTTAATTTCCACCAAATAATATGTAAAAAAGATACTAAACTCCAGTTGTTCTACCAATGGCAGATAGGATTGGTGTGGGTTACCAGTATACTTTATTGGTATATTGCTATGAAGGCCTGGACTGTACATTTGGATATTTGTATTAATAAACACCATATTCATCAAGAACAGCTCATTTTCTGATGCAAGTGGACTTGTTAAGTACCAGTAGTTTGCGCTTTCAGTTTTCCAGCTACGGTGTTACTAATTCTGATGTCTGAGCTCAAATCTTTCATTTTGCGAAATGAGTCCTCCTTTTTTTTTTTTTAATAGAAGGTATGTACTAAACCAGGAAATAGGAGATCTATCTGTCTGGTAAACTGTAGTCACCTACTATTTTCTGCTATTAATTTGCATTTAAGTTATAAAGAGCTGGGCCAGTCTATTTCCAGAGTGTTTGCTTCATAGCTAGCCAGCTCACCAACTTTGCGCCCCGTCCAGGTGGTCTGGAGCAGGCTCTTTCCAACCTTCATGATGCCGCATCGTCTGTACCTTTCCCTCCTTTCCTGGCAATGGCGGACAAGAATTTTTACTTGATCTAGAGGATCTGGGATTTATCAGATTTAGTAGCAAAAGTGGGTTCTTCATATGCTGTCTCTAGACCTCAGGAATCCAGTGTCTGCTGGTTTTTGCTCTCTGACCCCCATTCAGCTCTAAGAGAGGGTGACAAACACTACTTTTAGAAGTGTTCTGACTGTTCAATGAAGATAGATAGAGCCATGACTATTGTACCTGACAGATTGTAGGATTGCCATCGGTGCCCTGCCTTACTTGGGCCTGTGGCAAGCAATCCAGAAAGGTGGAGAACCATGCATTGTCTTGACGGCGAGTTGTAGAGAAGTCAGCTTTAGATTATTGCCATTTTCTTTTAACAGAGATTGTCAAGACTCTCAAACTTTCTCAGATAACCTCACATACAAATTTGTCTGGAAATTGAGATACATTTCTTCTTAGCACTAGGGTTCTTTAAAGTTTTAACATTTGGTTTTTGAGACAGTTTGTAGTCTCATGATCCCCTTTCCTCAGTTCACCAAGTGGGAATTGTAGCTTATGTCGTCTCCCTAGCTAGCAGTGAGCTTCCGTGTGCTGCCTCCACTAGGAGGTGCTGGGCTGATTGTTATGTTTTTGGTGACTTGCTGTATTTTGGTTGTGAATAGTGTATTTCTCTATAGGTCAAATAAATATGCTGCACCTCTCCCGGCCATGCTGCTGGCCAGGCCCAGAGAAGGTGGAATAGAGAGTGTTCCACTAGCCACTGCCCCAGTGCAAGAAATGGTTCGGATACTAGCAAATGCACCACTGGAAGCATTTGTGAGTATACTGCATAGGATAATAATGTTATACATGAATAAATGGTAATGTCTACTAGCATACAAGTTTTCAGTTTTCGGAGGCACTGGGGTGTCATGTTTTGTGGCTGAGTCCTTGTTTGGTTTGGTTTTGCTGTTCATTGATTATACACAGTTTCTCTAGTTTGCTGCTGAAATTTTCATGGCCTTCTGGGGCCAAAGTAGGGTGAACCTGTCCCAATGCAGATGGTCTAGAAATGCAGACTTCCTGGTTGCAAATTACTCCAGGTCATATTGGTACCTTTGCTGCTCTGAGTTCCCATCTGTAAGGTGCAGAATCTATGGGCAGACTACATGACAGAGGAATGCCACTTTGTAGAGGGTGTCTGGCCTGTAGCAGATGCTCAGAAAGCTTTAGCTACTGTTACAATTGGTAGCTTTAAAATGCCTACCACCTTGCTAGTGCCCTCAACTGATGAAACCTGGAGATTTGATTTAGTAGCTAGAATATTGCACATTTATCTGTCTGCATTTCTAAAGTGATGACAGGCGCTATTATCAGCTATAAATATTGAGTGAATAGTCCCCCATCGTATTTTTTGTCACAATGACCTAAATACTGATACGTTAGGTACTCAAATAAGTGTAGTCTTTAAAGGAGTTTTCTTTGTTCCTGTGAATCTAACCCCCTGACCCTCCTGCTAAACTAACAGGCTAAAATCAGTCAAATAATTGAGTTATATTTTCCAGGATGTAGTTTTCTAAATCATTATTACAGTAATTTTTTAGGAGATATGCTATTAAGGAAATGTTACCTTAACATACAACTATATTTTTCCAAATAATACAAAATTAAGAGAAGGAAATTAGACTCAACTGTAGCTTTTCCAGGTCTAAACTTGAGAATATATTTCTCCAAAAATCTAAAAACAATTATCTGTATCTTTTTATCATAAATATATTTTCATGAAGGAAAATATGTAAGTGCTTATTTGTAACATCTGCTCAATATTTAGTTGTGTTAATGTTCCATGCTTACTTAGCTGCTTTCTTGTTAGTGGGTGTTTGTCATGTTTCAGATATCTTGGTCTCTCTTCCTTGGCTGGTAAAGGAAAGGAGACTGTCCATCACTGACCTTGCTTTTCACAATCTCCTGTGCTATCTAGTCATCCTTCTGAGAGTAGGCCAGCCTGTCCACGTCACTAGTCCTGTACAACATCTGCATATCTCAGGAGCTAGGCTTGCTGAGGCGCTCCTGTCTGCTGCCACAGTTGCTCTTGTGTTTTGCCGTCCCTACACTGTCGTCCTTTAGCTTGCTGATGCCCTCTCTGCCTGCTCTCTCCATATCTCTCAGTATCTGTCACTCTGTGCTGGAGTGCGGACCTTAGCTTGTCAGGGTCTCACTCTTTACACAGGGATTGTATCAAAGTGACACTTCCTCAGATTCTGAGCCCCCCCCCATGTCTTTTTGACAGATCAGCCTCTTTACTGTCAAACATGGAAAGTGTTCAGGGATCACAGCAGTTTGAATACCTGTCCCTTCTAGTGTATAAACTGTCTGTCTGCAGGAAAGCTCCTTAAGAAGTGCCCAGCACAATGTTTCAAGCTTCTTAGTTCTTAGTAAATGAGTTGGCGGAAGTCGTCATCCTCATCATTTGGGAGGGGAATGTGACCCGTGTCAAAGATAGACAGTAGTTAGCACAGAGAGCCAGCCCAGGCAATTTGAAGAAAAAGCCCTAGTACTTAGCTTGTGGTGTAGGGAAATGCAGGATGATGATTTTAAGTATGAAGAGACAGAAGTGGAAGAGAAATGATCGGCAGAGGGAAGGCAGTTTGAGAAGTGGATAGGGAGAGGCATAGGCCAGCTTGATGATGCTTGAAGAAGTAAGACTGTAAAAGGTCACCAGCATCATCTAGAACAGGCTGCTAATGAGGCTTCTAGTGGCCCAGTGAAATAGGAAGCTGGGAGGCAGTATGCTGCATTCTGGTTAAGCTGCTTCCCCCACTGAGCCTCTGAGAACATCTTCCATCTGATGGGAGGTGATGTTTCTAGCTCACAGGTGCCTCCAGGGGGCGCAGTACGACTGCGCTGAATCCACAACAGGATACTGTGGTAAAATAGTAGTAAAATGGTAGATTAGATTACTTAGTCTTTACTAAATTCCTCTCAGTTGCTTTAAATTCAGAAGAGGTAAGATTGGCTTTGGGGTTTGTTTTAGCACACCTCTAATTATTTTCATCTTCAAAAAAATTCCTATGTTTGAAAAAAATAAGCTAATCATGGATAGTGGGGAAAAAGTTATAGTTTCAATCTTTAGCTTAGGTTTTAACCAGAGAACTTTACTAGAGGGAAGTATAAAAGAGTTTTTTTATTATTATGTGTGTACTAGCTAATCTGGATCCAGAGTTCAGCACGAATTATTATAGAGGAATCAGCTAATGTTGTTCCTTTTTTTGAGACAGAGTTTCTCTGTGTAGCCCTGGCAGTCCTGGAACTCACTTTGTAGACCAGGCTGGCCTGGAACTCACAGAGATCTGACTGCCTCTGCCTCTGGAGTGCTGGGACTATAGGCATGCACCACCACTGCCTAATATGTTCTTAAAATTTGTTAGCAATTTTATTTTGACTATAATTCATTACCATGGGGTAGGACTGAATTTGAAGCACTTAAGATTTACTTACTGTGGTCAAATCTCTGAATGAAAATGTTTGAATTACATTTTATGGACTAAAATTGCATGATTGACTTGATCATTGTCTCTGCTTTATGCTGTATCATGCCTATGATTTTTGTTTGAGGGATTCATGAGCTTCTTTTTTAACAGCCAGAAATCACTGTGGAAACTCTTCCTGCATACTTGAGACTTCAGAGACCATTGCTCATGTTGTTCAGTGATGGCAGCATCGACCCTCAGTATAGGAATGCAGCTCTAGCACTGGTGCGACAGAAGCAGCTGGAACCATTTACCCCTTGTTGGTTAAATTTGTGAGTGTGTGTTGAATGATTTTGTTTTCACTTAAGAGGTAAAGGGCGGGGGAAGCCTGTGGTGTGGTGCGTAGTTGTAACCACAGCACTCGCGAGTTCAAGGCTACTCTGAGCCACATAAAGGAAATACAGTTATTCCACTTTCATTAGTAAATGAAATTCTACAACTTTTGTAGTTAACATGGGACCAAACTCACCATCATGATATTTTTATAAGTGCCTTTCTCAGTTAAGTCACAAGATGACCTTGTTTAGACTCAACTCTGATTCTAAAATAATTGTAAGCAATATTTTTTATGATTTTAAAAGTAGTTGATGTTCATTGAAAACAATGGCAAATAAGGAAATAAGCACTGTGATATTTACAAACTTTAGTTTGTTTCTGTGTGGTTGAAGTCACCCCACATCATTAGAGAAGGGTTTTATTCACTGCATCCCTAAGTGGTATTTTCTGGCATGTTTTCTAGACGAATGACAGGTACAGCATTAAATGTCTGAATACAGTTCATACACATAACCCATAAGACATGCTTTCTACTTAAAAACTCACTTGAAAAGCAGCGGAAATGTGGCAATGCTCATTTTTGTTGTAGAGTCGTATTAGCATAGCATCTCACTCAAGGCAAGTTTGCCTAGGTGACTACCATGGTAGGTATCTAAAGTAGTGTTTTATGTCATGTGAAAAGTGCTACTTTAGGAAGCTAGACATCTTTAAGGTGTAGTTCCTTGTAGCTCTTTAATGTGAGATTAACCTAACCCTTTTCCCCAGCAAAGGACAATCTTAGGGGAAAGATGTCTTTGTAAAAGGGAGTGTCCTGTTGTAGCTATGTGACAGGTTAGTTTCGAGCTAACACACAATGAGGTACCCAGGTAAACGTTAAGGAGAACTTATTGATTGTCTCAAGTAGTGTTGATAAGGCCTTGGGCTCTTGATTTTTATGGAAATCACTGGCTGTCTTTTTTTCCTCCCGTGATAGATGTCACAAAGAAACTTTAAAAGAATTTGATTGCTAATATAATCGTAGACCTCTTGGTTTTGGAGAGGTCTGTTCATAAGCTCACTGGCGGACTAATAATTGAAGTTTGCAGCTCTATAAATGATTACTTTCTTCTTTGTTGTCATAGAAGAAATAATTAACATATTCACTCATCACTTCTTGCAGAAAGAATACTCCTGTGGGGAGGGGAATTCTGAAGGTATATTTTGGCCACCTGCCCCCGCTCCCTCAGCTGCTTTTGGTGAATTTGCATTCAGGTGGCCAAGTGTATGCATTTCCTTCAGTCCAGTCTATAACGGAACAAAGCCTGATGCTGTGGCTTAAAAAGTTAGAAGCGGGACTAGAAAATCCTATCAGTAAGTTTTCTGTTTTCTTCAGTACATCTAATTCTGTATTTTGTTGTTTAGGCTTTCAATGTTAATCATAACCAATAAAGATGAGAATGAGGAGAGCTCTTTGTATGTGCTGGAAGTACTAGTCTGTCAGTTGCATTTTCTGTGGACAGTCTGGATCTTAAAGTCCCAAATGGAGACCACTGCCTGAATTCTGATTTGTCCAGTCCATGGTGCTTGTATACATTGCCATTATATTGACCCACCAAAGTCAAAATCCATTGTGCCCCTGCTTCATGCATCTTTAAATTGCAGGTGTACAGGACAGTCTGCATGCAGTCTTTTCTTAGGCACGGCAACTTATTGTCTTTATTTTTAAATATTTATTTAGATATGTTTTTGAGACAGAGTTTCTCTATGTAACAGCCCTGACTGACCTGGAACTTACTTTATAGACCAGGTTGGCCTTGAACTCACAGAGATTCTTCTGCCTCTGCCTACTGAGCCCTGGGATGAAAGACGTGCGCCACCACCACCCAGCTAACTTGTTGTCTTTCTATACCTGTAAGAACATATCTGGTTTTATAGGAAGTGAGTAATTTATGAATAGTACATTATTATACAAAACTCTGATTCTGAGTATTCTAAAAACATGTATTTCAAACTGAAGATGTCTCCATCAACACATACTCTTCTGTTGACCAAATTAGCTGTTATAATGGCTAATAAAAGTGAGTTTTATTATCTACTTCTCCATCCATTGGAAGTTGATGTGGTGTAGGTATTGCTCATAGAAATATCATTAAAGTTTAATAATAATAGTAGCTAACATAATTGAATGTTATGGTGTGTATGATGTTGATTCATCATTATTTAATTCTCCTGACAATCATGAAGTGTATCTGTAGGAATGTTCAATAACTAGTTTAAAGTCACAACCAGCAAATGAAGAAGTGTGAATTCCAACCTAAATCTCTACTGTAGTGTCACAGTTTTTGTTTTTGCATGCTCTGTGTGTGTGTGTGTGTGTGTGTTCGTGTTCAGATGTGTATGAATGCCTGTGCTTGTGGAGGCCTGAAGTTGACATTAGATGTCTTCTTTAACTGCTTTCCACTTCACTTACTGAGGTAGGATCTCTTCCCCAAACCCTGAGCTTACTAATTATGACTAGGCTAGCCAGCTTGCCCTAGGATTCCCCTTCTCTGCCTTGTGAATGTTGGGATTATAGGCACCAGGTCTGTCCAACTTTGATTTTGGTCCAAAGGGACTCTGACCATTGAGCATTGAGTACTCTCCTCAGTCCCAGAGACAATTTTTAAAAATTGACAAATGGAAATCTTTATATTTATGATATGCGTGGTATTTTGATATATACATGTATTATGGAACGATTAAATCAAGCTAATTAACATTTGTTACCCCACACACTTATCATTTCTTTGTGATGAGATCATTTAAAATCTACGGTTTGTGTTGGAGAGATGGCTTACCAGGTAAAACAGACTTGAGTACAGGCGTTTGGATCCACAGTACCTACATAAGTTGGGGGGTGAGGCTACCTGCCTGAAACCTCAGCATGCAGGAGGTAGAGGCAGGAGATCCCAGAGCCAGCTGGCTTGGCTAACTGCCAAGCTCTAGGTTCAAGCAAGACACCCTGCCTCAATAGTTAAAGTGGACAATGATTCAGGAAGACACCTGAGGTCAATCTCTGGTCTCTGTGTACACACACACACACACACACACACACACACACACACACACACACACACACACATGTATATGCATACACATCCACATATATGCAAACATAGTCTTGCACAATACATTAATATATACATACAAAAAGGAGAAAAGTCTGCTAAGAATTTTTTTATTTGTGTAATGTACTATTTAGTACAGTCCCTACTCTACAGCAGAGTTCCAGAACACTTTTTCTGTCTAACAAGTTTTGTGCTTTTTGGCTATCATTTTCCCATTTGTAGTCTCCCTTCCCCTGTAACTTCTGGTTTCTTTGCTTCTATGAGCTTGGTTAGTTTAGGATTGTACATTTAAGTGAGGTCATGTTGTATTTGTCTTCCTGTGTCTGGAGTAATTTGCTAAGTGTAATGCTCTGAAGGTTCACCTCCATTGTCACAAATGACATGATTCCTTCTATTTAAAGAACGAATAGCATCCCATTGCATACACTCACCATTCATTATCCACTTATCTTTTGATGGACAGGTCATCTTCAAACCATGGCAATTATGAGTAATGCTATAGCGAACATGGGAATATAGATATCTTGACATTCTAGCAGTCATAAACCATTCTAGCTTTACTATTTAATGTGTAGTACTAACGAGATAATATTACATGTGGGTGTTTATATCTGACTCCATGTCTTAGGGTATAGTTTTAAAGAATAAATAAACTGTAGCAGTCATTGCTGTTTGTGGGCAGATAATATTTTACCACACGAAGATACTACATGGTGTGTATCTGTTTATCGTGTGATAGGGCGCCTTCAGTTTTTGGCTGTTATGAGTAATGCTATTGCAAAATAATTGGCATGTCTGTGCTCTACCGCCCTGTCTATTTACATGTCCCTGTGTGTGCTCCACCACACTGCAGTCATCCACATGTGTCTGTCTGTGCACCACCCGGCTGCCAGTTTACATGCCCCTTTCGGTGGTCATACCACACCATTACTGTAGCCTTGGAGTAGGTTTCTTTAATGGAGATATTTAATTCCTCTGACTCCATTCTTCATTTTCCAAATTGTTTCAGCTATCTTGTATCCCTTTAGAATGATAGCTTGATGATACTTTGTTTTAATTTCTAAGGTAGTTCACTGACTGTAATATTTTCCTAGAAACTGAGAAAATTGCCTGCTTTTACTGTTTTAGCACCAGTCACAATGTAGAAAAGAGACTCCCTGTCCTTTCTCATGTGTGAGAGTGCACCCTGTCTCCTGTAGCTCCTGCACTCTCCAGATGCTTATTCTGTCTGCATCGCCTCCTTACAGCGTCATGTGAATGCTGCCACTTCGCTCTCAGGTACAAGCCCTATAGACTCTTCAAGTAGAGATGGGTGCATCTCAAAAAACTCTGTTCTTTTGATGGGTGCTCAAAACTCAGCCATGAGCTCATGACCCAGTTTTCATGCTTAAGTGTTGGTTTTTTCCTCTGCTATGCAGAGATGCCTCGTTCCTACTCTGATACATCACAAAGTTACTTTAATAGCCAAGTAAGGTGATATGTTTAGGAACTTTGTAACATGTGAAAGATAGTTCTTCCCTTGCAAGGACCTCCTGAGATCTAGTTGCTGGTAATTCTGAAAGAATCACAGTCCTTCTAAGAGTTTTCTGAGAGTGTGGCGCCCTTCTGTGCAGTTTTTAATGCCTTCAGCACCTCACCCAACTGAGGGTCTCCATCATTTCTGTATGTCTGCTTCTGATCTTTTTTTTTTTTTTTTTTTTTTTTTTGATTTTTCGAGACAGGGTTTCTCTGTGGCTTTGGGGCTTTGGAGGCTGTCCTGGAACTAGCTCTTGTAGACCAGGCTGGTCTCGAATTCACAGAGATCCACCTGCCTCTGCTTTCCAAGTGCTGGGATTAAAGTCATGAGCCACCACCGCCCTGCTTCTGTTCTTAAGTTAGGTTTTACAAGACTTAATGGCACACTCATATGTGTTGTGTCCCTCTGTGGTAGCCAGACTGGACACTCTTAATTAGGCAAGTTTCTGCTAACCATACTTTGAGAGAGGGTCAGGGTTAGGGTTAGGGTTGTAATGACATTCTAGGAAAACAGTGGGAGTGACCAGCAGCGCAGGTGGGATGTGTCCACTGGCCATTCTTATTGTGAGTTGATGTAGAAGTTTGTCCAGTAACCCAGCCTCTCTCTGCCCTGGCCAACTTTTCAATGCTATGGAAAGATGATTGAACTAGTAATGCCTGGCATATAATAAAGGTTCAAGAAGTATTTGCTACTGTTCTTTATGTAGCTTGTAATTTCATGAATAATGTATTAGCTGCATGATCAAAGGACAGATTTGTTTTCAATTGAGAACATTAAGACCTTTCTAATATTTCCCTCAACAAATAATTAGCAACATTGAAATGTTAAGCTCCACTGGTTATCCTTTAAAATTTGCATTTCTCTTTCCTTTAAACTAGACTTTCCTTGAAGACACTTTAATAAACATTTAGGTGAATGTTGGCAACTGTAGATAGTCATTCTTTTTTATTTCTTTTTTTATTTTTAAATTTAAATTAGAAGCAAGGTTGCTTCACATGTCAATTCCAGGTCCCTCTCTGTTTCCCTCCCCTCCTCCCATGCCCTCCCACCAACCTCCCCCAATATCCCCTCATTTCCCCAGGGAGGGTGAGGCCCTCCATGGGGGTGTCCATAGTCTGTCATTTCATCCAGGGCAGGGCCTAGACCCTCCCCCACGAGTTCAGGGTGAGAGCGTATCTCTCATTGTTGGATGGGAGTCTGAAGTCCATTTGTATATCCGGAATAAATACTGATCTACTACCCAAGGCTGAGTAGATTACCTAGGCCGCCTCACTGACACCCGCATTCAGGGGGTCTTGATCAGTCCCATGTTGGATTCCCAGACATCAGTCTGGGATTCAAGAGCTAACCCTTGTCAGGTCAGCTGTTTCTGGGGATTAAACCAGCCCAATCTTAACCCCTTCGGTCATCTGGCCTCCCTCTCTGTCACTGGCTTTCTTGAGTTAAGCTCAGTGCTTAGCCATGAGAGTCTGCCTCTGCTTCCATCAGCTACTGAATGAAGGTTCTGTTTCCCAGACTCTCTGGCCATGGGATTGTAGGCTGGCACTCCGCACATTAGATAGTCATTCTTACCCCTTGCCTGTTTACTACATTCAGATACGTATTTCCTCCATTGTTCACTTGGTAATGTGGTCATTTGTCAGTACCAGTTTGAAGCCTGAGTTCTATGAATAACATAATTTAGTGCTCCCTGATGTCTCAAGTTTGGTATAGTTGGATAGAAGAAACTGTCTGCCAGCACGGGCAGCATAGAGCAGTGCAGACTTTTGTCTGGGCTTTTCTGCTCTAGTTAACTGTGCTTTGTTTATGCTTCTGAACCTTACAGAGACAAGTGACTTATAAGAGACTCCCAAGTTTTAATATCAGAGCATTTATTATTTCTGCATATAGCATCATATAAATTCTCCTATCACAACTTATTTCTAAAAGCTTACTTCATATGCTTACTTACAGAGTTTATTTCTCAAAAATACTTTAATTAGGCCAAATAATTTTTAGTAAACTTTTTGGTTAGCTAATGTATCTCATAAGTTATGCTTATGATATGAGCCTGCCATAGAGCGTAGTTGATAATATCTGGTGACACTCTGATAGAGAAAACTGATCTTCCCTCTCCCAAGAGGTACCTATTGCAAATAGCTTCTTGACTAGGGATGGAAGTTTTCATCCACATCCCTTCTCTGTCCTGGGGTTTTGTCTGGTTTGGACTGGTGCAAGCCTCAGCATGTTGTCTCAATCTCTGAGTTCAGATGTGTATCAGGCCTTTTGTGTCTGAAGATGCTGTTTTCTTAGAGTCTTCCAAGACACCTCTTCTGTGTAGATCAGTGAGCATCAAGGGGAGGAATTTGATAAAGGCATCCTATTTAGGGCTAAGTTCTCCAAAGTCTGTCATTCTCTGCATAGTATGGCAGCATTTTAAAATAATAGAGCACTGCATGACACCCATCTAAGGGAATTCATCTAATTACTGGGTATTTATAGTTCCTTTGACTTGATGGCACTTTAAAATTACTACTCATCTATAATTAACTTTAAAGAAATAGACTTGTTCTTATAAAGTGTGTGGAAAGGGTATTGACTTAAAAACAGAAAATGCATCAAGATTAAGGCATTACTAGTATGAGTAACAATGTTAAATATTTTTTCTGGAATGCTTCATAGAAATAGTTACTTTTCAGAGCCAGGGAGATGGCTTACTTGGTAATGTGGGCCTGAGTTTGATCGCTAGCACAAACCAATGCCACTTACTAGGACACATCTTCCAACATGGCCAAATGCTGATCAGATTTCAATTTGAGTTTCAAAGTAGACAAACCAGAGCAAGAAGGTATACTATGGTTAAAACTAGTTAAAGAGCCAGCCATGGTGGGGCACACCTTTAATTCCAGTACTCAGGAAGCAGAGGCAGGCAAATCTCTATGAGTTGTAGGCCAGCCTGGTCTACAGAGTGAGTTCCATGACAGCCAGGGCTACACAGAGAAACCGTTGGTGGCTCCCGCCTTTAATCCCAGCACTTCTCTGGAGTTTGAAGCCATCCTGGTCTCCAGAGTGAGTTCCAGAACAGGCTCCAAAGCAATACAGAGAAACTCTGTCTCGAAAAACCAAAAAAAGAAATACTATCCCCAAAAGCCATAAAAAATCTTTACGAAAAGTATAATCTATAAAATTAAGCAGAAGAAAATAGTCACTTACAAAGCAGCCATTCAGGGGTGGGAGAGATGACTCAATGGCTAAGAGCACTTACTGCTCTTGCAGGTGACCTGGGTTCCAGTCCCCAGTGTCCACACTGGGTGACTCACAACTGCTGGTACTTCCAGTTCTAGGGAATGCAACCTGTATTCTGACTTCTGAGGACTCCTGCATGCACACACATACTCAGATGTGCACCTTTAGACACACTTAGACCTAGTTGTAACAGGACTCCAGACTTAGTAGGCACTTAGATATTAGCACAACTGACTGCCCTTCTGCTTTCACAGTTAAACTGAAACAGGATGAGTCTTGAACTTCCAAGACTCTAGAACCACGAGCTCAAATAAACTTCTCTTTGTAATCGACCCACACTTAGCTATTCTGTTTAACTGCAACAGCAGCAACAGCAGCAGCAACAACAAAGTAAGACATGTAAACTGCATGAGATCTGAAATTCCTCATGTTCAGCCCCATTCATTGTGTTTTCACATGGATTTAATGATTGATGACCAGGTTCTCATGGGGAAAGTTAGAGTACATGCATGTCTTTCTGTTATTTGTGTCTGCTGAAATGCTGTGGTAAGTGCTAGATTTACTTTTCTGTTTGTTTGTTTGTTTGTTTGTTTTTGAGACAGGATTTAGCTTCAGCTGCCCAGGACCTCACATTGTAGATCAGGCTGACCTCAGAGATCTGCCTGCCTCTGCCTCCTGAGTACTGATAATGGAATATGCCATCACTGCTCATCAATTTACTTGTTTTGAACAATAAACAGTTTTTAAAAAAAATCTGAATTAGGGAGGGAAGCAAGAAACTTGCTATTTTAAGTTGTACCTGTCTATCTGTAGTGTTATTTTTTTTAATCTTCAACAAGGTTTAGCTGGTAATAAGATAATGTTTTTTGTTATTATTAATACTTAATCACTGCAGAAAAATAAGTAGAGTATGAATACAGTACTAAAATATGTAACTAAAGGCTGGGGAGATGCTTCAGCACTTGGGAAAGCCAGAGATCTGAACCCAGCTCCTAAGCACCTGTGTAAAAGTGGAACATGGCTGCTTGTGTCTGTAACCCCAGTACTGAGGGGAGGAAACAGGCAAATCCTGGGAGCTTGCTGGCCAGCCAAAATGGCGGACTTCACATTCAGTGAGAGACTGCCTCAAAAAATAAGGTGGAGAGCAATAAAGCAGTGGACTTCTCTGGCCTCTGCATGCATGCTGGGAAGTGTGCAATGCTCCCCTTGTATAACCACCGACCACACAAATGCAAATGAAGAGGGCTGATAAAGGCCCCCACAAATACACATTTCAAAATAAAGTACGGTGATTTCATCTCTGCTAGTTGGTAATACTCCTTATTGTGCCTTCCTTCCAGCAATTATATCTGATCAGGCATGGAAACCTCCTCTCCCAGCTTTTGACTTCCTAAGTATGATGGATGCCCCTGCAGCTCAGGCTTCTGCAAAGAAAGGGGCGGAGTGTATGGAAGCAGCCGAGGTTCAGGCGAGCGCTGAGCAGCCGCGGGGAGGTGGACCGGCCCCCAGAAGAGAGCCCCCGGAAACGCTCAGAGTAAAGCACTGGAACAGGAGCATCGCGCCCAGGGAGGCGGGGGAGCCTTCGCGGCCCCACAAGGAACTGTGATGGGGCCTCGAGGGCTGCCTTTCTTTCTCGAGAAACTCCGGGCTGACTCTGTTAAGGAATAATACTGAATCATTGCAAGTCTAGACAAGCGCCACTCAACCGGATTGTGATACAAATAACACATGTAAAGTTTCTTAGTAGCTACCCTTCAGAGCCATAAATGACCAGGTAAAATGGAGTTAAAATGTATTTCATCCAGCAAGTAAACCCACATAGATTTATTAATATTGAGAGATTTGCTTTTTCCACATGAATTCTTCAAAGTAGAGTACTTACTTTGTACTTACTGCCATTCCTCACCACAGAGAGCCTTGTTTCTAGTGCTTAGCTGTCCCCATGGTACCTGGCTGTGGGATTGGCAGCTCACTGTCAGACAAACACCAGTATGATTCACCTGATGCTAACCATGACATGTGTTTGAATCAAAGCTGGAATGTGACTGCCGAGTCACCATCAGCTACAGTGGAATCGTAGCTGGCGGCTGTATTTATTTTCTTGTGGTCATGTTAAAATCAGCACCTTTCAGTTCTGACCATAGGGAGTGTTTGTTAGTGGGAAGAGACAGCTTCAGTGTCATGACTTAGAGGTGCTACTGGTATCTACGGACAGAGCTTGGGGTGCTCCCAAGCTCCCTACATTGGGTAGCTTTCCCCATCAAAGAACTCTCTTTCCCATATGTCAGCAGTGCCAAGGCTTCTAATCCATGTCCATTTAGCCTGTAGCACAGTGTATCTCAGTGTCTTGTGAATTTGCCCAGTTCCTATGGTATATGAAAAATGAGTGGCTGTCTTATCCTGATTATAGTAAATTAATTTCTTAAAGATTTGTTTGTTTGTATTTTATATGTATATTTGACCTGCATGCATGTAAATGCACTACATGCATGCCTGTTGCTCACAGAGGTCAGAAGAGGGCATTGGATCCCCAGGGACTGGAGTTATGGATGGTTGCGAGTTTCCATGTTGATGCTGGGAACCAAACTGGGGCCCTCTGCAAGAACAGCCGGCACTGAACCATTTCTCCAACCTCAATTTTTATAAAACTTTCAAGAAGCAATAAATGTTTCCACAAAGGGACTTAGAATACATATAAATCTCTGTGCATGCATTTTATGTTGTGTGTGCATCTCTCTTTTTGTGTACATACGTGCATTTTAAGTCTGTGTGTGCAACTTTCTATGTATATATGCATGCATTATAAGGGAGTCCTAAATTAACCCTTATCTCTTTAAGTTAGATTGCTAAGGTTCAGATTAAATAGGAATTAAATAGTCTGCCACCATCTTCTAGCAAAAAAAGAGACTGGCTTATCTGAGTCACTCCCGAAATCTACCCTTATTAGCTTGGGACAAAGTAGCTGGTCTCCCTGGGGTGTGTAGGACTTACCGTACAACAGTTAGTTGTTCGTCTTAATCACACGCAGTTGGGCTGATATCAGTGTTCGCAGTGCGTCTGGCTCACTGTTCCATTGTGCATTCTCCAAGGTGTTTGTTGAAACCATAGGAATTGGTGCCCAGCTGTATTTCTCTTTGTGGGGTATCTTGTTTGTTAGATTTTCTACATGTGTGACTTGGATAGTACAAATGAGTTTTATAACTTTAATTTCACAGTGAAGTTGCAATAAACCGTGCAGTGTATTTCATTGTGACATAGACGGTTTGCTGCTGTCATCCCCTTCCTTGACTTTCTAGTAGTGTGCTGTGCCCTGCCCATGCCATTCATTCCCATTTGTTTGTTTCTAATGAAGGAGGTGTGTGGGTGAACTCCTAATATCACCCTGGTCATTGAAAGTGGACACAGAAACGCGGTGGCTCACAACGTATCTGCACTTTGGTACAGGCCCCTTTGTGATTTCGCATCTCAGGCTGTCTTCATGGGCTCCCCTTGGCCTTTCCTTTTTCTCTTGGGCCACTTACCCATTTTTGGCTTTAGTTTCTTGAGTTCCAAGCATCAGGATCTTAGCTTTGGCTAATTTAAGCAAACAGGAGAACTGGGTACTCACAGAATCAAAAGGAAAATTAAACAGGTTTTATTTAAAAAATTAAACAGGTGCTGTTCTGGGAATTGTGTGTGGGGAGCTCATGCGTAGTAACTCAACAGGTTTTCTCTTAAGCTCAGGAGAGCGCAGGGAAATCCTGGGTTAGGGTGTGGCTAAGCTCTTTAAGCAACATACCTAACAAGAACTCTTCAGTGTAGAGGAGGTGACCTCACAGAAGGGATCGGTCTTGTTTAGGATGAAACTGGAGCACGAGTGTGGAGAGGCACAGGAAGTTGGAAGCCTAGAGTGGCAGTTACCACCCACCGATCCCAGGCCAGACCTGGGAACCCTTGCCACATTGTCTCACCTAGGTTTTGGGATCTCCCAGTGCCTCTTCTCTCAAGTGGTTTTGTGTTCCTGTGTGTGCCCTGGCCCAGTGTGACACATTCCCTGTAATGGCCTGTGAGTCTCAGCCTCATCTGTCTTCAGGACAGTGCTGCTCAGTCTGTAGCTTTCAGCCCTTGTGATGAAATGTTCGGTGGACTGTTTGAGAAGCTCCTGGAGATAATCACGGAAATGACTTTAAAAACTCAGCATTTTTAAGCTGAAGGGATCACATTTGCAGATCAGTGTCTGTCGTTGGTACCCCATGGGAGCAGGAGGAGCCGGAAGAGCCCGTTGGAATCCCTGGAGCTGGAGCTACAGGTAGTTGTCATGTAGGAGCTGGGCACCGAGCCCAAGTCTTCTGCAAGAACAAGTGCAAGTGCCTGTAACAGCTGAGCCGTCTCTGCAGCCCCATGTTTTCTTTTATCCTAGCAGGAGAAAAAGAAGCCACAGCTTTGCCTTGCGAATCAGAGAAAATCATCCGTGGAATTGAATTCCGAAGAATGGTAAGCCCTCTCAAAGAAACACAGGACACACGAGCTGAGTGGCGAGACTAGGAGGCCGACACCAAAGCAAGAACAAAGAAGTGGGTATTTCTTTCCCAGCTGTACATAGGCTATCTTTGCCACATAGTGCTGGCAAGGACCTTGTTACTCTTGCAGTAAACAGTGATCATACTATAGATACCTGCATTTTTCTTCACCCCCAGTTTCAAGCAGGGAGGCCAGGCAGCACCTGCACAGGCTGGGGTATGCCTCAGGGAAGGAGCTTCAAGCTGAAAGGACACAGGCACTTCAGAGTGGGTTTTTAGTGTGCCTGTTCTAGAGGGCATGATGGACAGTAATGCTAATCATTCATACACTGGACAGTAATGCTAATGCTTCATACACTGGACAGTAATGCTAATCATTCATACACTGGACAGCAATGCTAATGCTTCATACACTGGACAGTAATGCTAATCATTCATACACTGGACAGTAATGCTAATGCTTCATACACTGGACAGTAATGCTAATGCTTCATACACTGGACAGTAATGCTAATCATTCATACACTGGACAGTAATGCTAATGCTTCATACACTGGACAGTAATGCTAATCATTCATACACTGGACAGCAATGCTAATGCTTCATACACTGGACAGTAATGCTAATCATTCATACACTGGACAGCATTGCTGATGTACTTGAGGGGATACTGGCTTTCTAGGCCTTAAATTTTATGTCCCTGAAAAGACAGACTAACATAATGGAAGGCCTGTGAAAGACTTGGAGGATTAGGATAGGAACTGAAAACGTTAATTCTTTAAAGGACAGTGACAAGGACACCCCTGTAATCTCAGTACTGGAGGTAGAGGCAAGAGAGTAAGGAGAGGACAGCCTCACTTAGCAAGATCCTGGGGGGGGGTAGGATGGGGATGGAACTAAATGGAGAGGACTTTCCTGGCGTGCATAAGGTCCTAGGTTCTCTCCCCAGCACCACGAGTAAAATAAGTGGCTAAGTGCCAGGTGTATGAATTAGAGAAAAGGCCCTGGCATGGCCTTGGTTCACACTCACTTGGGACCCTTTATCCAGACTTGAGGAGTCGTGAGAAAGGCTGGGGTAGGAGAGTCCCCCCGGTGGCACAGGAGCAGGAGCAATTGACCTAACACTCCTCTCCACAGACCTACAAAACTGAAGGCATTAATCACTGGGTAACGGCTGGCAAGCCTTCCTGTCCTGATGGCCCAGGCTCTTCTGAGAGGTATACAAACTAAACTTTCACCGTTGTGTGAGGCAAAACCTCACGGCCCAGTGTCTCATTGCACAGAGATCCACCACCACTGAGATCCCTTTCAAGAACTTCAGAAATTGTGTTAAAACCGTGGTGGACATGTAGAGGGCAGTGACACAGAATGATTGAAGATTAGTCATATCCAACAAAGGGACAAATACTTTTAGAAATAAGGAATGAGATGGGCGTGGTGACCAGGAGGAATGAGCATTTCAGATAGAGTAAGACATGGAAGACTTGGGAACGTTTGTCTTCCTTGAAGAATGGAATGGAGCCTGCATGCCTTGTTTCCCCTCGGCAAAGAGCTCAGTAAAGAAGGAAGATTGGAGAGCCATGAAGAGGCAAACAACCACGCAGCATTTTGGGAGCATGGTTGGCTGGGCCTCTGAACTGCCTTGTATATCAAGAAACAAAATTACACAGCGTGTTCTGATTGCCATTAAGGGATGGCTGCAGGCTCTTAGTTGAGGTATACTCTACCAGTTTAATCTCAACAGCTAGTTGCTACTTGGACGCACATTTGGAGGAAAAGGTTTCTGATGTTAGTAACTAAAACTGATTCCACAGACTGGCATGGGATGAACAGAGAAGACTGGGTTGGCTGAAAAGCTTAAGCTCTGGCTTGTTCACAGTAAGACTGAAGCTCTATGTGATCACAAGGGCTGATATCAAGTCCTCAGTGGGATATGTGGATCTGGGGCATAGATTGCCTGGCCCAACAAATCCCAGATGTTTCCTGTTTGCTTGGAGCTGTGAGGCGGTGTGAGTAAAACAGCCCCTTTATGTATGCTTAGCATTTGAGTGCGTGTTATAGGAAGTAAGTGAATTTATAGGTGATAGCTGCTATAAGGCAGAGAAGACAGAGATGGGCATGATATAGGACTTTTTTTGAGTATTGCTAAGGAAGGCCTTTCTGATAAAATGAGTAAAGAAAGAAAAGGAAGCAGACATCAGAGACTTGGCGTGTGGAGGTCTAAATGAGAATGTCCCTGATTGGCTCATATACTTGACTGCTTAGCCATCAGCTGGTAGATTGTTTGGGAAAGATTAGGTGTGACCTTGTTGGAGGAAATGTATCACTGGGGTGGGCTTTGAGGTTTTAAAACTCCTGCCCAGCCTGCCTCTGTCTGTTTGTCTGCCTCTTTCTGTTTCTCTGTGTCTCTCTGCCTGCTGCCCCGGGATCAGGATGTAAAGGCTGCTGCTCTATGCCTATCTGCTTCTCACCGTGATGCTCATGGGGTAACCCTCTGAAACTGTAATCAAACCTCCAATTAAATGCTTCCCGGTAACAGGACAGTGACTAAGACCTGACAATAGTGAAAGCAGCATTAAATGGTAGGTATTTTTTTTTCAAAGCAACAGAATCTCGTCTTTATTGCATCAGGCAGGTCAGAGAGTCTAGGAAACAGAACCTTCATCCAGCGACTGATGACAACAGAGGCAGATACCCACAGACAAAGAGAGAAAGAGAGAACTAATGGGCAAAGGAGTTAAGGCTGGGCTGGTTTAACCCACAGAAACAGTTGACCTGAACACGGGGGGAGCTCTGACTCCAGATTGATGGCTGTGTGTAAAGCATGGGACTGACCTAGACCCCCTGAATGTGGGTGTCTGTGACGAGGCCTAGGTAATCTATGGGGCCTTGCGTAGTATTTATCCCTGGCATACAAATAGACTTTGAGTGCCCATGCCACAATATGGGAGGCTCTCTCAGCTGGGACTCTTGGGGGAGGGCCTAGGCCCTACCCTGAATGAAATGACAGTTACTGTAGATCCACCATGGAGGACCTCACCCTCCTTGGGGATCGGAGTAGAGATTGGGTGAGGGACTGGGGGACCTGGTGGGGAGGGCAGGGGAGGAGGGGAGGGAGAGGGAGCTGGGATTGACATGTGAAACAAGGTTGTTTCTAACCTTAAAAAAAAAAAAGCAATAGAAAGTTTCTTTAAAGGGTCAAGCAGCAGATAAAAGGCTAAAAATTTCCCAGCCAAAATCTAAGAATCTCAGTAAAGGCAAAAACCAAAGGAGCAACTACACCTCTGACAGTGCCTTTCCCTACAAGCATTTGTTATGTGATTGAATTTCACATTTGTGTTTCAGGGAGTCATTTTGGTTTCACTGTTTTGTTTTTTAAAAAGATTTATTTATTTCCTATGTATACAGTGTTCTGCCTGCCTTCTTGCCTGCCTGCCAGAAGAGGGCACCAGATCCCACTATAGATGGTCATGGGCCACCACATGGTTGCTGGGAATTGAACTTTGGAAGAGCACCCAGTGCTCTTAATCTCTGAGCCATCCCCTACTTCTCACTGTTTTAACAAAAACACAAAAGCTAAGGTAAATAGCACAAAAATCCTTGAATGAGTTGTTAAACTGAAGAGTTTCAAACTTCTTTGTAGCTGTTACACGTAGGACAGCTCAGGAATGACTGACTGAAAAATGGCAAAATCCTCCTTAGTTTTCTCTTTAAGTTGTCAAGCATGTGGTTATTTGAGCAAATTTAAAAAGTGAAAACCATAGAGAAAGAAATATAAAAATGAAAACATGGCCTCAAGTTTGTCTAGCCGCCATGGATCTGATAGTTTGAAAGCGAGGAAAGAGAAATTTTAGTCTGGGGGCGAGTTTTGAATCCTGGAGCTACCTGTGCCTCCAGAGTCCCCATCCCTGTGGGATCCTGTAGTGGAGTTCCTAAGACCACTGGGCAAGAGACGGGTTCCATCTGACCGGGAGGTCTATGGAAGACAGTGCGTCTGTTTTTCCCCACAGCCATGGAGGTGAAACACCAAGCCCCACATCCACCCGGGGTGGGAAGTTGGAACATCTTGGGACAGTATTGTTGAAGTTAGAAGAGGGGAGAGCTTAGCCTTACAGGTGTCCCTTTAATTTCTAACTGGGAGCAGGTTTGGCTCCCAGAAGAAAATGAGAAATGAGACAGTAAACAGGGAGAGTGGGGAGGGGCTGAGGGGGAACAACATTTTCTTCATCTGCAACCTCAGGTTCCATGGGAAGATGTTTGAGTGCTGAGTAAGAAAGGAGAAAGGAGTGGCGGTGACAGTGGCGGTGGCATCGCTGAGAACCTGGAATTATAGCCAGCTTTGAGATTTACAAACAAAATTGACGTACCCTACGATCCGAACAAACCCTCCAGTGATTAAAGTCAGTCTAAAGCAGTTCCAACAGTCCTGAAGCAGAGCCCTGCACAAGTAAACACACGGTTTCTAGGGAAAGGCACCTTCATGGTAAGTCTCAAAGCATCCCACGGCAGCTTTTCAAAGCCACCATGTGTGTATAGCCAGAATTAAGCAACCACACAAGGGGAAGAATCAGGCTTACTGTGAATAAGGATCAGCAAAAGCTAATAGCAGAAACGAATCAGTAATCACTTTAGATACTAAAGTTACTAGGCACAAGATTGTTTTGGCTATTTGAAGTCCTTTGTATTTCCATATGAATTTTAAGATTTTTTCATAATTTTGTGAATAATGTCAGTGGAATTTTGATGGACCACTTTGAATCTATAGACTGTTTTTGTCAATACAGATATTTTTATATCAACCTGTCAATCTATGAGCAGGGGAGGCCTTTTAATCTTGTAGTTTCTTCAGTTTCTTTCTTTGGTGTTCTCTTGGTATTTTATTTTATTTTTGAATCTATTGTAAATGGGACCTTTCCCCCTGGATTTCTATCTCAGCATGTTTGTGTTTGATATATAGAAAGCCTACTGATTTTTGTGTTGATTTTGTATCCTGATTCGTAGATAAAAATGTCTAAGTTTCCTGGTTCATTCTCTTGGATGTTTTGTTGGTTGTTTATTTTAGTAGATTCATATTGTTTACAAATAAGGGAAAATTTACCCATTTCCTGTTTGTATGCTTTATTTTATTTTATTTTTATCTTATTGCTCTAAGCAAGACATGGAGCCTGAGTAAGAGCAGAGGGGTGGGCACCCTTGTTTTACTCCTGATTTCACAGTGACTACTTGAAGTTTTTCTGCATTTAGTATAATATTGGTGTCTGAATTAGGGTTTCTATTGCTGGGATAAAGCACTGTGACTAAAGGCAATTTGGATAGGAAAGAGTTGATTTCTGCTCACAGTGGTCGTCTGTCGTGAAGGGACGTTAGGGCAAGAACTCCAGGCAGGGACTGAAGCAAGGCCATGGAGGAACAGAGTCATCGGCTCACAGTTGATCAGCCTGCTTTCCTTTCCCCACAGGACTCCCTGTTCCCAGTTGCCATTACCCACAATGGGCTGGGCCTGTGTCAATCACCAACTGAGAAAATGCACTACAGATTGCCTCCAGGGAGATCTTTTGGAGGCTTTCTTTTTTCAGTTGAGTGTCCCTCTTGCGTAATGACTATAGCTTGTGTCATAACTAGCCAGGACACATCTATATGTAAATATACAGAAAGGTTAAAAGTGAAAAATGGAACAGGAGAGCTGGAGAGATGGCTCAGCAGTTAGGAGCATTGTCTGCTCTTCTGGAGGACCCAGGCTTGGTCTCTAGTTTACAGCTGTTTATGGCAGTTTACAGCTGCCTGTAACTCCAATGCTGGCCAACACCGTCTTCTGAACCCTGTTTATGGCAGTTTACAGCTGCCTGTAACTCCAATGCTGGCCAACACCGTCTTCTGAACCCTGTTTATGGCAGTTTACAGCTGTCTGTAACTCCAATGCTGGCCAACACCGTCTTCTGAACCCTGTTTATGGCAGTTTACAGCTGTCTGTATCTCCAATGCTGGCCAACACCGTCTTCTGAACCCTGCAGGCACCAGGAGCACATGTGGTACATAGACGTACATGTGGGCAAAACTCTAAAACACATAGAAATAAATGTAAGAATTTAAAAAGTAAAAGAATAGGAAAATATACACAATGCAAGATTTCTACATACAAAAAACCAGATGAGATAGACATTAACTAAAAAGTATTAAGCAGAGTTATTTCATAATGGTGATGCCAATTCACTAGTAAATTAAGATAGCTATAAACTTCTTCTAAAAATCTGCATGGGTATTTTTCTTGCATATGTGTTTGTGTACTGTCCTGGGCCAGAAGAGGCCCCCAGATCCCTTAGAACTGGAGTTACAGATGGTTGTAATCTGCCATGTGGATGCTAGGAACCAAATCTAGATCAGCTTTGAGATCAGTCATCTCTCCAGGCCCAATAACTTTTTAATTACCTAGTAACATTATAAAAATGTCAGGAGCTTTAACCTGGGAGGAATGATGACAGACTCAGCGAGCTGGTTTTGAGTATATATTTTACTTCACACTTGTATCAGAGCAATACACACAGCAGAAGCAGAGTCCTAGGGACTATAGCCACTAGACTCACAACGGGGGTACCTCTCCTGCATCACAGGGTCACCGCTCGCTCCAGACGTCTTAAGATTCCTCTGGATTCAAGCCGTGAGTCTCCCCGAGGTCTTGGTTCTGCGATGCTGCTGGATTCAAGCGATGAGTCTCCCGAGGTCTCGGGTCTGGATGTCGAACGTGGCTCTCAGCGTAGTGGACTGACTTTTCAGAGGGAGGAGAGTTCCGGGACGTGTTTTTCATGCAGGCGGGGTGTGCTCTACTTTCTTAGTCCTGAGCTGGTCCCTAAATCTAAATACCTTGCTCATCACACCTATTTTTAGGTACCTAATTAGTACAGCTAGCAGGAAAAAAAAAAAGAAATTTACAAAGGATTTCAACAATAGTGTTGATATACATAGCTTTGCTTTGGGACTGTAGAACAGACATTCCTTTCAAGACCTTAAGAACATCTATAAAGGTTGACATATACTGGTTTATAGAGCAAGTACCAAAAATTTCTAAAAGATTAATGTAGTATACAGTGTGCTTTCTGGCCACAATATGACTGACACATATTGGGGACAGTGACAGAACGGCGTTTAAAGAGGCAGTGATAAGGGTCTGACTGTAAGGTGAAGGCTGGGGTACAATGTGGGCATCACATCACTTCTTCCTACCGCAGCTTGTGGGTTGTCCTCTAGTGAACTTTAACGGTGGACACAGCCTAGAGTTGTGAGAGGGAGGCCTCAGTTGAGGGGTTGGGGGTGTCTGTGGCAAACTGTCCCTGTTGTTAGTTGAGTAGGAGGTTTACCATTCCCTAGGCAGGTGGTCTTAGGCTTCATAAGAAAGCCTGTGGGTGAGCTAGGAGCAGTGATCCTTTATGGTTTCTGCTTCAAGTTTTTGATTGAGTGCCTGCCTTGAGTTCCCTCAGTGATGGGCTGTCACCTGGAGTGTAAGGCAAATAGGTCCTTTTGTCCCCTAAGGTACTTTATTCCAAGTGTTCTCTGTTTGTTTTGTCACAGCAACAGAAAGGAAACTAAAACACAAATAACTCAACTCTTTCTCATATTTACACAGTGGACATCCTGTCCATGATGTATCTCTGAAAAATAATTTGTGCATGTAAGATCTGAAAATAATACTAATATGGCCTGCTACTAAGTCATCGAGGAAGCAGGTAATTCAGGCACCATTTCAGTTTAGAGTTCATTTATGTTCTAACACTTAACATTTTCTTAGAGTAAATCTTTAAGATATGTTAATAAAATCCTACCCAAGATTTAGTTTGAAGAACCCTCAGTCAAGTCCTTACATAGACCATTAAAAAAGAGGGAGATTGTAGAATCTGGATCCAGTGAAATATTCCAGACCACCTTCCTTATTTCAAGTAGGCAAAACTTCACATCAGCTCTTTAATCAAATAAAGCCCTCATTTCCTCTGGCATCCCACGAAGCCTGAATTTCCTGCTTCCCCTGTGGATAGCATGTAAAGTTATGAAGGCTACCTTTGGAGAATTACTTTCCCTCACACTTAAGTTTAATTGTTTCTTAGAAATACAAGGTAATGAGCTACCCTGTTCTTGGTGCCATGAATTCCCTGAACATCTGCTTTGTTGTACTGAAGGTGACTAATGTGTTTGAGTCTATAACCAACGCTACCAGATAGGACTCCGAAAGCATCCCAGTCCTACATGCCAGGGTCTCAACATTGGTGGGCATGGGTAAATAAATCCCCACTCAGTTACATAAGAGGCTGGGATCATACTTCTTCTCAAGATACATTCTTAAGAAAGGGAGCTGTTGGAACGTATCTTTATATAAATAATAAACGTGTGACTTACAAGGAAGCCTTTGGTGTTTTGTAGACTGAGTTGGAAACCTGAACATCTAGGGTCATCCAGGAGATCTAGCTAGCACCACAGAGAACAGATTTGAATTCCAATGGAAGAATCATCAAGAAGACTAGCCAGCTTCTGCTTTGACATGATCCCAACTGTGCTCTGATTCTCCCCTCTTGGATTATAAAAGTATATAACTTCTTTGTGTTTCAAAGGGGCTACAGTTAAGAGACTTCCGGTTTTTAAAGAGACATTGGACTTTTTAAATTCTTCTAACATTTTAAAGGCGGCAGGACTGTATTTTATAAATTTTAAAGTTGGACTGTATTTTATAAATTATGATAATAAAATGAGATCTGGGGGGCAAACAAGAAAGGCCAGGTTGTGTTTTAAAGTGATGAGTCTCTCAGAGCTCAGGGAACCCCCTGAAGAGGAGGTGGAAAGAGTGTAGGAGTCAGAGGCGATGGAGGGCACGGAGAACAAGGCCTCTAGTCAGCTGAGGAAAGCTCATGAGCTCACAGAGACTGGAGCAGATCTGTATCTGTTTCCTGGGCTCCTTTCCTTCTGTTTGTTTTGTCCTATTCTACAAATAACGCCATTTAAAAACGCAGAACTCTCAAAAGTGACACTCAAATGGCTGAGAAGCGCTTAAAGAAATGTTCAATATCTTTAGCCATCAGGGAAATGCAAATCAAAACTACTTTGAGACTCCATTTTACACCTGTCGGAATGGCCAAGATCGATAAAACAAATGGCAGCTGGATTTTATCAAAGGCCTTTTCTGCATTTAATGATATGGTCATGTGGCTTTTTTCTTAATTTAGTTTATATGTGGGGGGGTTACATTTATTGACTTTCACACATTGAACCATTCCTGCGTCTTTGGGATGAAGCCTACTTGATCATGGCAGATGATCTTTTTGATGTGTTCTTGGATTTGGTTAGCAAATATTTTATTGAAATTTTTTGCATCTATGTTCACAATGGAAATTGGTCTGTAATTGTCTTCGTTGGTTTAGGTATTAGGGTAACTTGTGGCCCCTTCAAAAGAATTGGGCAGTGTTCCTTCAGTCTCTATTTTGTGAAATAATTTAAAGGGTACTGGCACTAACTCTTCTTTGAAAGTCTGGTAGAATCTTGAGCTAAAACCGCCTGGCCTTGGCCTTTTTTTTTTTTTTTTTTTTTTTTTGATTGGGAGACAATTACTGCTTCTATTTCACTAGGGGTTATAAGTCTGTTTAAATTACTTTTCTGGTCTTGATTTAACTCTGGCAGATGGTATGTGTTGAGAAAATTATGCATTTCTTTATGATTTTCCAATTTGGTGGAGTACAAGTTTCTAATTTAAGATTCTCTCAATTTCTTTAGTGTTTCTTGTGATGTCGTATTTTTCATTTCCAATTTTGTTAGTTTTGATCTTCTTTATGCTTTTTAGTTAATTTGACTAAGAGTTTGCCACTCTTACTTATTTTCTCAAACACCTCTTTTTTAAAAAAATTTTCCAGTCAGAGTTTCTCAGTGTAGCCTTATAGACCAGGCTGGCCTTGAACTCACAGAGATCCACCAGCCTCTGCCTCCCAAGTGCTGGGGTTAAAGACTTACACCACCACTGCCGAGCTTTGCCCAGATAGTGAAACAACTTTTTGTTGCGTTGATTCTTTGTATGCTTTGTTTGTTTCTATTTTATTTATTTCAACCTTGAGTTTGGTTATTTCTTGCTGTCTACTCCTTTTGGTTGTGATTTCTTCTCTTCTAGAGCTCTCAGGTGTGCGGTTAAGTTACTAGTATGAGATCTCTCCATTTTTTTTATTTAGTGCTATGAGCTTGCCTCTTAGAACCTCCTTCATTGTGTCTCAAAGTTTGTGTATGCTGTGCTTTTATTTACAGTAAGTTGTAGAAAGTTTTAATTTCTTTCCGAATGTCTGTTTTGACCCATTTTTCGTTCAGTAGTTTATCAGTTTCCCTAAATTTGTAAGCTTTCTGTTATTGGTATCCAACTTTAATCCTTGGTGGTCAGACAGGATGCAGGGTATTATTTTGCTTGTCTTGTATCTCTTGAGCCCTGCTTTGTGTCCGAGTGTTTGGTCCATTTTGGAGAAAGTTACATAAGGTGCTGAGAAGAAGGTAGGTGTGTGTGTGTGTGTGTGTGTGTGTGTGTGTGTGTGTGTGTGTGTGTGTGTGTGTGTGTGTGTTAGGTGAAGTGTTCTATAAATATCTGTTAGGTCCACTTACTTTATGATGTCAATTATCACCAGTATTTCTCTGTTTAGTTTTTGTGTATATGACTTACTTGTCTATTGGTGAGAGTGGAGTTGAATTCTCTTACTGTCCATATGTAAGGCCAATATATGATTTAAGTTGTAGTACTGTTTCTTTTATGAATTTATGTACCCTTGTGTTTGGTGCATCTATGTTAAGAATTGCAATGTTTTCTTGGTGGGTTTTTCCTTTCATGAGTATGTAGTGTTCTTCACTATCTCTTCTGATTAGTTTTGCTTTGAAGTCCATTTTGGGAGATATTAAATGAGTAGACGGTCTTGTTTCCTAGGTATGTTTGCTTGAACTGTCTTTTTCCATCCTTTTACCTTGAGATGATGTCTATTCATGATGTTAAAGGTATGTTCCTTGGATGTAGCATAGGATGGATCCTGTTTTTGCATTTGTTCTGTTAGTCTGTGTCTTTTTACTGGAGAATTGAGATCATCAATGTTGAAAGCTATCATTGAGCAGTGTTTCTTGATTCCTGTTATTTTGTTCTTTTTTAAAAATTTATTTATATTTTTATTTTATGTGAACTGGAATTTTGCCTGCATGTATACCTGTGTGAATGTGTCAGAACTTGGAGTTACAGACAGTTATGAGTTGCGATGTGGGTGCTGGGAATTGAACCTAGGAAGAGTAGTCAGTGCTTATAACTGCTGAGTCATCTCTCCAGCCCTGTAATTTTATTCTTGTATGTTTTTTCCCTTCCTTTGATTTGCCGGTCTGATATTATTTATTCCTTGTGTTTTCTTTGGTGAGGTTAATCTCTTCAGACTTTCATATTTGTAGATAAGTACTGCTTAAATTTGGTTTTATCATGAAATGTCTTTCTTTCTCCATCTATTGTGATTGAATGTTTTGCTGGGTATAGTGGTCTAGGAGGTTATCCGTGGTCTCCTTAAGTTTGTAGAACACCTTTTCAGGCCCTTCTGGTTTTTAGTCTCCATTGGAAGTCAGATTATTACTTTAATAGGTCTGCCTTTATACATTATTTAGTCTTTTTCCCTTGCAGCTTTAAAAATTTTAATTTGGTATATAAATTTAGTATTTTGAATATTATTTGCTAAAGGGAATTTCTTTATGACTCTATCTATTTGCTATGTTTCTTGTACCTTGGTAGGTATCTCTTTCTTTAGGTTAGGGGGATTTACTTCTATGATTTTGTTGAAAATATTTTCTGTGCCTTTGACTTGTGTTTTTTCTTCTATTTTTATTATTCATAGATTTGGTCTTTTCATAATGTCCCAGATTTCCTGGAATTTTTGTGCTAGAAGTTTTTATTTATTTATTTTCCTTTTTATTTAAATTAGAAACAATCTTATTTTATATATCAAACCTAGTTCCCATTCCCTCCCAACTTCCATACACCCCCCCACTGACCCACATACCATCCCTCTTCTGCTCCATAGAAAGGGCGAGGTCTTCCATGGGGGATCATCGATATCTGTCACATCATTTGGGGCAGGGCCTAGGCCTTCCCCTGTGTGTCTTGGCTGAGACAGTATCCCTCTATGGGGAATGGGCTCCCAATGTCCATTAATATGCTAGGGATAAATACTGTTCAACTACCAGAGGCCCCATAGACTACCCAGGCTTCCTAGCTGACACCCATGTTCAGGGGGCCTGGTTCTGTCCTATGCTGGTTTCTAAGCTGTCAGTTTGGACTCCATGAGCTCCCCCTTGTTCAGGTCAGTTGATTCTGTGGGTTTCCCCAGCCTGGTCTTGACCCCTTTGCTCATCACTCCTCCATTTCTGCAACTGGATTCCAGGAATTCAGCTTAGTGCTTAGCTGGGGGTCTCTGCTTCTGCTTCCATCAGTTACTGGATGAAGGCTCTAGGATGGTATATAAGGTAGTCATCAATTTCATTATAGCAGAAGGGTATTTAAGATAGCCTCTCCACTATTGCTTAGATTCTCAGTTGGGGTTATCCTTGTAGATCTCTGGACATTTCCCCAGTGCCAGATTTCTCTTTAAACCTATAGTGGCTTTCTCTATTAAGGTATCTCTTTTCTTGCTCTCCTCTATTCTTCCCAGACTCAATCTTCCTGGTCCCTCATGTCCTCCCCGCACTCTTCTCCAGCTAACTCCCTCTCCCTTCCCCCCATGTTCCCAATTTGCTTGGGAGATCTTGCCTCTTTCCCCTTCTTCAGGGGACCATGAATGTCTGTCTCTCTTAGGGTCTTCCTTGTTTCCTAGCTTCTTTGGAGGTGTGGATTATAGGCTGGTAATCCTTTGTTCTATGTCTAATATCCATATATTATTGAGTAAATACCATGCTTATCTTTTTGTGACTGGGTTACCTCACTCAGGATGGGTTCTTCTAGTTACATACATTCAGAAATTTTTTAAAATACCTTTTCTTTGACCTAGTGTTAGCATGCTTTCTTCCCACCAGCCTGGTCCCAGAGCCGTGTCAGTCCCAAATGAACAAGCAGGACGCTATATTAATTATGAAGCTATTGGCTGTTTGCTATGGTTTCTTAATGGCTATCTCTGACTTAATTATTAACCCATAATTGCTCATATATATTTTTGTAAGGACTTATCTTTCCGAGGATGCCATCCTGCCGAGTCCTCTCCTCCCAGGATCACATGTCAACTCCCTACTCTTGACTACATTTCCCAGAATCCTCCTAGTCTCACCTATCTTGCTTCCCTATTGGCCAACAGTGCTTTATTTATCAACCATAAGACAACATATACACAGAAGGACTTCCCCCATCAACTTAGGTATCCGTTTCTTCTATCTTGTCTTCAGTCCCTGAGACTCTTTCTTCCATGTCTTGTATTCTGTTGGTGAGACTTACCTCAGACATTCCTTGTTGAGTTCCTAAACTTTTCATATCCAAATTTTCCTCAGCTTGGGTTTTTAAAATTAAATTTATTTATTAAATTTAAACAATTTCATTTTACATTATGACCAGAGTTCTCTCTCCCACCTCTCCTCCTCCTATCCCCCCTCACTTCCTCCCCAGCCTATCCCCCATTCACTCCTTCCAACAGTTAAGGGATCCCATGGGGAGTTAACAAAGTCTGGCACATTAAGTTGGGGCAAGACTAAGCCCCTTTCCCCTGAGTTAAGAGGGAGAATGCCATCCCTCATAGAGAATGGGCTCCAACAAGCTAGCTCACACACCAGGGATAGATCCTGGTCCTACTGCCAGGGTCTCCTCAGCCCAAACTTCACAACTGTCTCCCACATACAGTGGGCCTAGTTCGGTTCCATGAAGGCTCCATAGTTGTCGGTCGATAGTTTATGAGTTTCCAAGAGCTTGATTCAGTTGACTCTGTAGATGTCTCCGTCATGATCTTGGCCTCCATTGCTCATGTATTTCCTCCTCCCTCTCTTTGGCTGGATTCTTGGAGCTCGGCCTGGTGCTTGGTTGTGGATCTCTGCATCTGGTTCCATCAAGTACTGCATGAAGGCTCTCATGGTCCGCTCTGTGCAGTTGCCCTCTGTGTCTCAGGGAGTTGGGGTTTTCTTTATCGATTCTATTTCCACTTTGATATCTTAAACGGGTTTCTTC